CCGAAACGTGCTAGCCCTCACTCAGACCCTACCCTAGCCTTAAAAATTCTTATAAGTCCCCAAGCCTGCAAACCCTAAACCCGAAACCCCTATTGAAACCTGAAGGCCCTAAAGCCCTAAAGTCCGCAAACCCTAGCCCCTCTTGCCCGATCCCGGCCCGAGGTCTCCTCAGTTGTGTTGAAGGTTTAGGGTTTGGGGTTTATTGGGTTTAGGGTTTATTGGTTCATTGGGTTTAGGGTTTATTGGTTTATTGGGTTTAGGGTTTAGGGTTTGGGGTTTAGTGGTTTATTGGGTTTAGGGTTTAGAGTGCTCATTACAGCAGTTTGGGATAGAAACACCTCAGTCCACAGCCCCAGAGCCTAAACCCAAAGCTACTGTAGCATGGGCTTGTAGGTTCCTGAACTAGTTGGCATAGTCAGTCAAAGCCCCTAAACCCTAAACCCTCAACCCTCAACCCTCAACCCTCAACCCTCAACCCGCAACCCTCAACCCTCAACCCTCAACCCTCAACCCTCAACCCGCAACCCGCAACCCGCAACCCGCAACCCGCAACCTGCAACCCGCAACCCGCAACCCGCAACCCGCAACCTGCAACCCCAGCCCACAGCCCTAAACTCCAAAGCTCGAAGTCAAGGAAGGGGTGGAGCTGGCTTGGTCTTTCAGGGGGAGGAATCTTCGGATCTAGGGTTTTTGGACTTGGGTTTAGGGTTTCTGGTTTTCCTTCAGCCCCTTTTTTTGAACGGTACAGGGCTTGACGCTTGGCAGTGTCGAGTTTGGGCCGTAGGAGTTAGGGACTTCCCGGCCCCTTCACCAACAATCCGGAAAACTTGCCGTAGGAACCAGCGCCGTCGGCTAATGTCACGGCTCCTGGGCCGGACGGGCCGGGGGCATGCTGTGGGTATCCCTAAACCCTAAACCCTAAACGCGCCTTGATCCCTGCACCCCTCAACAAAGCCCCTGAACTCTCAGTCCAGCTTTCCACCCAAAGGCCCCCAAAATGGAGCACCCCTTTAAACGGGAAATCTGCCTTAAGGAGATAGAATTGAACAGATTTCGGTTTTCTTGAGGTAGATATACTAGAAGTAGGCCCTCATTCCTTTGTTTTTGGGTTGGGCTCCCTTTAGAACCCTCCTAAAACCAAAAAGGGTACCCTTTTTTGCTAGGCTACTCGTGGGTCTAGTATATATATATATATAGATAGATAGGCTACTCACCCTAAACCCTAAACCCTCAACCCTAAACCCCAAACCCTAAATCTGCACACCCTGAACCCCCAAACTTTCTGTGCCCTGTGAGCCTTGAACACCCTTGAGGGCCTCTGGAGTTGAAAACTGGGGCATCCTCAAAAAAGGCCTCAGAACCCCGTTAGGGTTTAGGGTTTAGGGCTTAGGGCTTAGGGCTTAGGGCTTAGGGCTTAGGGCTTAGGGTTTAGGGTTTAGGGTTTTCATCTGCTATCATGCCTGCAATGCTGTGGGCTTGAGGGTTTCGGGGGCTTTCACATGCTTGCGGCTACCATCCACGGCAGCGACTTCAGTGTTGCGGCCCACGGGCTTCAATCCCTGCATCACCCAGTTTGAGTTCCTCTATACCCTACAGACCTGCTGGGAGCTCCTAATGTCTCTGCAGGGTTTTGCTTTGTGGCACCTTGAGGGAGTAGTACACTGCTAGGGCAACCCCAAAATCCATCCCTGGTTTTCGACGACAGTTGCCACAGCATAGAATCCCTAAACCCTAAACCCTTAACCGTGAAAGACAAGCTTGCAAGGTGTCCTCCAACTCTGGCTGCAGCTGCTGTTTGGCAGACTTCACCCTTGAGGCGATGACGGTGATGAGGATTTTGCAGAGTGCATCTAGCCACTTGTTAAACCCGAAACTTGTATACTATGAACCCTAAGCCTTAAACCCACAAGCCTTCACCACCTACACACCCTGAACCCTAGGCCCGAGACCGCCTGAGTTGTCAACTCTAACCCTATTAAACTCTGAAGCCCAGATTTGCTCCAATACCTGGAGAGACCCTGGACCTGAAAGAAAGGTCTGTGTCTTTGCGGATATGTATATATACATATATACGTACACGCGCATGAACTATTTTCACATGTTATATGCATATATGCGCATCTCTTAGTATGTGTATATCGACAATCTAATGAACACGCCCTTCTTTACAGGGTATAGGCGGTATAATCCATATATATATATATGTATATATGTATATATGTATATATGTATATATGTATATATGTATATATGTACATATATATATATATATACACCATGCAAAGAAGTTTGTGTGGGAAGAGACGCTTGGCAGAATATCTTATGAAGAAACCCCGGTACAAGATAATCTCATCTATAATGCAGGTTTGCAAAGACAGTTCTAAAGCGTCTGCAGAGGGTAAGCCTCCTTTTTGCTGCGCCAACGCCGTGTCTTGAAGTTGACGTACAGTCGATTCACGGTATGGCTTCGGAAAAAATTATATGTATACATGAATATATGTATATATGTATATGTATATACATATACATATATACCTAAGGAAATTTCGCTCCCCAAAGAGCCCAATACCCCTTCATTCAAGAACATACCTGGAATCATGTTAAGGATCCTTGTAGAACTTAAGGAGTTTAGGGTTTAGGGTTTGCGGTTTAGGGTTTAGGGAGAGGTTCATGCTCTCCCTGAGTCCCCTCTCGCCGTCCTTCGCTGCGGACACGTCTTCTGCGAGGCCGGCACCGTTGTGGTACACCTGAGGCGGCCCTAAGCCCCAAGCCCGAAACCCTAAACCCTAAACGCTAAACCCTAAACCCTCAACCCTCAACCCTAAACCCTAAACCCTCAACCCTAAACCCTCAACCCTAAACCCTAAACCCTAAACCCTAAACCCTAAACCCTAAACCCTAAACCCTAAACCCTAAACCCTAAACCCTACACCCACCCTCTGTCAGAGCGACCTTGCAACGTTAACTTCAAAGAGGACAAGCACACCCGCAAATTCAAGCGCAAGTCCCCTGTTATAAATGAGCACAAGATTTTTTCTAGGTCTAGGTAGGGTTGAGGGTTTAGGGTTTCGGATCATGCTAATACCCAGCTGTTTTCAGCTTGGGCATGTCCACGTTGAAGAAGAGTTTAACTTAATAGAGATCGGGGTTGTGGGTGGAGGCCGCAAGATGTGCTTGCAGATAAGTTCAAGATGATCGGGTGTGTTGGGGACTTCGGGCCCCCCCAGCTTTTCGAAGTGTCGGGATCCCGCTGTTTTTTTTTTGGAGATTTTTTGTGCTTAGAGTAAGCCTTCGCCTTAAGATTTTCAAGGTACATCTCCCCTGATAGAAGACGACAAAAGGCTGTACCCAAAACTTTCAGGCCCTAAGCCCTAATTACTAATTAAACCCTGGACCCTAAACCCTAAACCCTGCTTCGCAAAGAACCTGCAGGCCTACCCTAAACTTTTCGGCCCTAAGCCCTAATTAAACCCTGGACCCTAGACTTAGACCCTAGACCCTAGACCCTAAACCCTAAACCCTAAACCCTAAACCCTAAACCCTAAACCCTAAACCCTAAACCCTAAACCCTAAACCCTAAACCCTAAACCCTAAACCCTAAACCCTAAACCCTAAACCCTAAACCCTAAACCCTAAACCCTAAACCCTAAACCCTAAACCCTAAACCCTAAACCCTAAACCCTAAACCCTAAACCCTAAACCCTAAACTGGAGCGAGCTGCGGGCGCTGCGATAAGCAGCGGCGAGCGATACCGCGTGGCGACAGGCCCGCGGACGAGCCCGAGCCTTAGCCTGGCGAGGGCTCGGGGCCGTTGTGCGCGGCGAGCGCGGCCCACGCCTAGAAGCCAGCGTCAGTCTGGGCTCCAAAGAGAATTACCCTAAACCTTATTAGGTTTTTAGTGACCCCGCACTGGTGCGTCCTCTCTTAAGGGGGTCGCCAGCTCTGAGCCTTTCTGGGCTTCTCCCGGACCCTTTCTGAGCCTTTTTGGGCTTTTCCCAGACCACTTCTGAGCCTTTTGAGCTGCCTGGACCATTTCTGAGCCCCGGACCATTTCTGAGCCTTTTTGGGTTCCTCCGGCTAGGCTTCTCCCGGACCACTTCTGAGCCGTTTTGGGCTGTCCCGGACAATTGCTGAGCTTGGCTTTACCGCACCATCTCCGAGCTTTTTATGGACAATTTCTGAGCTTTTTGGGCTGCTGCCGGACCAGTTCTGAGCCTTTTTGGGCTCCTCCCGGACTGTTTGAGCCTTTTTGGGCTTTTTCGGATCATGAAACCATTTTTTGGGCTGCCCTAAACCCTAAACCCTAAACCCTAAACCCTACACCCTAAACCCCTAAACCCTAAACCCCAAAACCCTAAACCCCAAAACCCGAAACCCTAAACCCGAAACCCTAAACCCAAAACCCTAAACCCTAAACCCTAAACCCCTACCCTAAAGCCTAAACCCTGGTTCGCAAAAGAACCTGCAGGCCTGCATCACCGCGTGGTCGCTCTCGGGCCATGCGAAGTCGCGCTTCTGCCCTGCGAGCTGGCGGCACATTGACGTTTTTCTGCTAGGGTTTAGGGTTTAGGGTTTAGGGTTTAGGGTTTAGGGTTTAGGGTTTAGGGTTTAGGGTTTAGGGTTTAGGGTTTAGGGTTTAGGGTTTAGGGGTGGGGGTTTGGGGTTTGGGTTTGGGGTTTGGGGGGGTTTGGGGTTTGGGGTTTGGGGTTTGGGGTTTGGGGTTTGGGGTTTGGGGTTTGGGGTTTGGGGTTTGGGGTTTGGGGCTTTAGGGTTCAGGGTTGATGGCTTAGGGTTGAGGGCGGTTTCGCGTTGTCAGGTGCAGTTCTCGTGTACAGCACCCGATCAAAACTGGCCCCTGGGGAGGGCAAAGAAGTCAGCTCAGGGACACTGCATGACCGTGCCTAGAAAATTCTGCACCTACGTAGACAAACAAGTATAAACAAATGCAAAAGATGACAGACCTTTTCCCCCCCCACCCCCTTTGGGCAGAGTATGCGTGCATGTGCTGCGTAGAGCATCAAGCTGCAACACGATTGCGAGCTGCATAACTTGGGATGTTCCGCCTTTGTTCTAACAGTCCTTAATAGGGACCATACTGGGAGGGGTACTAGAATCCCGATTACAAGGAGCTGTTAGCATAAGGGAGCGGTACTACGGTACTATAGAATCCCCATTAAGGAGCTGTTAGCAAAAGGGGGGAACATCCCAATGCATAACCCAGCCGCACCTGAGAAGCCGATCTTTGCTCGGGCTCCCTGACAAGGGACTCTAGCACCCCCGGAGTTTAAGGTTCAGGGTTTAGGGTTTAGGGTTCAGGGTTTAGGGTTTAGGGTTATTTCTCAGTTGTGTAAGTGATAGGTTCCTTTTTGTAGACCCCGCTCATTAAGCCCCCCTTTGTTGTTCTCCTAGGCTGTATATACCGAGCTTAGCAACCTCCAGTTTAGGGTTCAGGGATACCCCCCCACCCCCAGCGAATAACAAGTAGTCAAGTCGACCCTAAACCCTAAATCCTAAACCCTAAACCCTAAACCCGAAACCCTAAACCCTAAACCCTAAACCCTAAACCCTAAACCCTAAACCCTAAACCCTAAACCCTAAACCCTTCCCCGCCATCATGGAACCCTGCCCTGTGACTACAGGTTTGCCGCGCCGACTTTGGCATCGAGCGGGAGTAGCGGGGCCGCTGCGGAGTTACGCAGCGCGCGCGAAGTTCCAGATCCCCTGCAAGTCCCGGTTTAGGGTTTAGGGTTTAGGGTTTAGGGTTTAGGGTTTAGGGTTTCCCCTAATCCCTGAACTAAACCCTCCATAAACCCTAAACCCTCAACCCTGCTTGTGATCGGTTGTGTGTGGTGGTTCGAAGGTTTTGGTCCAGCTACTCAGCCTTTTTCGGGTGTTTGAGTCTTTTGGATGATGCATGATGGTTGTCTATGCTTCAATCCAGTAGAGTCCCCAGCAATTACGGCCCTAACCCCCATCCGTACACCCCAAAACCAAACTCTTAAGAACCCACCCCAACCCTAAGACCCTGAAGCCTAAATTACGTAAACCGACTGCGTGAGGAGACAGAAGAGGCAAAGAAGCACCGCAAAATGGCCCTCTGGTTTCCAAGTTCCCTCCCTCTAAGGATCACAAATCCCCAGAACAATAGCCTCTTTTTGTGATTGTTTTTTTCAATGCAGTTTTGTAGGGCATAGGAGTTTTCATGAGGCTTACAGGGTGTTCGTAGGGTTGATGGAGATCTGACCCTTGAAGCACGCACTCTCTATGGCATCCCACATCCTAAAGCCACGGCTTAGGGTTTGGTGACATAGCCGACTGAACCCTAAACCCTAAACCGCCCTAAGCCCTAAACCCTAAAAGTCCGCCCAGGCCTCTGCGTGGGAACTCTAGAACACCCAAAGCCATCATGAATCCGCAGTCGCATACCTGGCGCCTCAACATTTGTAAACTGCTCTGCAAATCTCACTAAACACTAGTGAAAAACCGTCCCAGCTCCCTCTCTGTCACGGCCCAATTCTTCAAGAATCCTGAGACCTTAGAGGACAAAAGCTGTTGTCAGACCCTGCATGGTTTGGGTGTGTTCTGTAGCCAGAAAAACCACTCCACACTCTTACAAGCCGGCGGCGGAGAATTCCCTTGTTTCCGGAGGAGTTGATGAGGGCTCATGAGCTAAGTTCGGGTTTGGGGCAGGAATGTTTGGGCTTAGGGAGCCCCAAGGCAATGCCAAGCTGTAAGTTTAGACACATAGTCCTGAAAACAAAATCGAAAACCCCAAGTCCTGAAGCCAAGCCCAACACCCCAAACCCAAGCTCTCCAAGCCTCGTACCCGAAACACAAAATCCCGAAACCCTTGGGTTTAGGGGTCAGGGTTTAGGGTTTAGGGTTTAGGGTTTAGGGTTTAGGGTTTAGGGTTTAGGGTTTAGGGCAAAAACCATAAGGCACACCTCTTGGGGTCAGGCCTTACTTCTTCGTGCAGGTGAAGAAGGGAGGCCTTGATACGGAAGTTTGTTTCGAATTAGGGCTTAGGGTTGAGGGTTTAGAGTTTAGGGTTTAGGGTTTAGGGTTTAGGGTTTAGGGTTTAGGGTTTAGGGTTTAGGGTTTAGGGTTTCAGGGGCCAGGACCCGGAGTAGGCTCTCATTTCCTGTTTTTAGGGTTGGGCTTCCGCCGCTGAAAGCCCAAAAGCGTACCCTTTTATTCCTAGGTTTCTCCTGGGTCAGGGGGGTTTAGGGTTTTCATGGATGTTGTGTGTGTTGGGGGTTTAGGGTTTTCGGGTTTTCAAGGATGTTGGGGGGAATTTTAGGTGTTTTTAGGTTAGGTGTTCGAGCTTTCAGGCTGCAGGGGATGAGCAGCTTGGCTGTGGACATCAGCTGGTCGGCCCTCGACAAGCTGCAGTATGGGTTTAGGGTTTAGGGTTTAGGGTTTAGGGTTTAGGGTTTAGGGTTTAGGGGTTTTTAGGGTCTAGAGCAGACCGCAAAGTTTCGGGATGCCCCGCCAGGCATTGACACCATGCGCGACATCCTGGCGCAGCGGTTTGAGCAAGAGGTGCGCAAAAGCGTATCCCGAATCCCTATCCCTATAAGGGTTTGTGTTTTTTTGGGGGGTTCAGGTTTAAGAATGGCACACGGGTTGCACACCCGCGAAACATACCCCGTAACATACCCCGAAACATACCCCCGAAACATACCCCGTAACATACCCCCGAAATTGCAGGTAAAGTAGCTCCAGATGCCGCGAAACATACCCGAAACATACCCCCGAAACATACCCCGAAACATACCCCGAAACATACTCACGAAACATACCCCGACCCCAACACGTGTCACGCGCCTCCCCATTAAAATACAAACCCATAAAACCCTATAATAAAACCCTACAAACCCTACAAACACTATAAACCCTACAAACCCTATAAACCCTATAAACCTTATAAGCCCTGCAACCCCTACAAATCCTACAAATCCTATAAATCCTATACCCCCTCGCTCTCGGGAGTGAAGTTATTCGCTGTTGTTGCGTGTGAGTGGCAGGGGGGGGGGGGTTGGTCCTTATGGCTTACTTGGTTGCGCAAACTTTGAATCTCAAGCCCTGAATGAGCCAACCCTATCAGCCGGAAACCCTAAACTCAACCCTCGACCCTTGTGTTGGTGGGGCCCATGGGCTACGACCCGTGAGAGGGTAGTGCAGACTCCTGCAAGTGTCGGGGTCTTCGTGCTTGAGCCCCGTACTTGGAGGTTCACGGGTCGTTTGAAGTAGGGTTATACAGTAAGTAACCTAAATAAGCCTTTACCCAGCTACCATTATTGTTTCCTTACTTATAACCCCACTTAGAACTACCCATGAACTTCCTAGTAACCCTAACCCGAAACCCTAACCCAAAGCCTTAATCACAGTCACCTTACTTATAACCCCACTTCCAGGTAGGAAAAAAGTCTCACCTAAACCCTAAACCCGAAACCCTAAACCCTATACCCTAAACCCTATAAACCCTAAACCCTAAACCCGAAACCCTAAGCCCTAAACCGGCTTCAGGGTTTGGGCTTTGGGGTTGAAGACTCGCCAAGCCCTGGCACCCAACGAGCCCTGAAGCCCTGAGAGCCCCGTCTGGCCTACAGATTGGGTTTAGGGTTTAGGGTTTAGGGTGTAGGGTTTAGGGTTTAGGGTTTAGGGCTTAGGGTTTAGGGTTTAGGATTAGGGTTTAGGGTTTCGGGTTTGGGTTTAGGGTTTAGGGTTTAGGGTTTAGGGTTTAGGGTTTAGGGTTTAGGGTTTAGGGTTTAGGGTTTAGGGTTTAGGGTTTAGGGTTTAGGGTTTAGGGTTTAGGGTTTAGGGTTTAGGGCTTGGGTTTGGGTTTGGGTTTCGGGTTTAGGGTTTGCGCCCCCAAGTCCTTGCAATTGCAGGGAGTGGTGGCCACCATCGTCGACAAGGAAGACTTGGCCTTAGAGGCGGCCCTTGCACGTCGAGGTTTCAAAAGGCTTAAGTTGGGATTTCCCCCTTATACTAGCAGTCCTTAAAAGTCATTATAATAGGGGGTACTATATTCCCCATTAAGGACTGTTAGTATAAAGGGGAACGTCCCAAGGCAGAATCCTTAAGCTACATTTTACGTAAGTATCCCCACACAAATACAGTAGTCTTCCTGATAAGTAGTGTAGGGATTATGATCTTCATTTTTGTTGGGTTTCTTAAGCAACTAGTAGTAAGGGTCGAAAATTCAGGGGCGCACCGGACATGCATCCTTTGTTGTCGTGCTTCTTCCAGTTTGCTGGAAAGGCAATCGTTTCGGCTTCTCTTGTAAATAAGGCTCAAATGCGGGCAGGGATCATGGCTCCGTCCGAGGTTCAGTGTGTCGCGCAATCCGTTTGTCTTGTGTGGCGCAGCATGCCTGGGTAGGGCCAGAAGCCACCCTAAACCCTAAACCCTAAACCCTAACCCTAAACCCTAAACCCTAAACCCTAAACCCGAAACCCGAAACCCTAAACCCTAAACCCTAAACCCTAAACCCTAAACCCTAAACCCTAAACCCTAAACCCTAAACCCTAAACCCTAAACCCTAAACCCTAAACCCTAACCCTAAACCCTAAACACTAAACATCAAAACCGGAGCTTGCTGTGCAGGACCACATCGTCGGCCGGAAGCGCCCTCTCATCAAACTCTCCTTCCAGAGCACCGAGGGCGCAAGCAAGGCCAGCAAAAGTGTTCCCTAACGAGTGGTACCCTTTTCCTTTTGTTTTTTTGGTTTTGGCTTCCCGTAACTTCTACAGTACCAACCTTATTCCTTTCCGCTATTGGGACGTTTTGTTCTTGCTGTCGCGGGTATGCACATATGTTAACCCTAAACCCTCAACCCTAAACCCTCCACCCAAAGACCCTAAGCTCAGTCATTCTCGAGGTGCAGGTGGCTCGAGCTTTGGTTTCAAAGGTGGGGGGAGGGTGGACTATCACAAGCCTCAAGGTTACAAGACAGCAGAAAAAAAAAACAGAATTTCAGAACCTTCTTAGATGACAGCGACTTCTAACCAGCCGATAGAAGCGGGGGTTTCCGAAAGTTAGGGGTAACCCTGTTGGTCAAGGGATTCCATGATACTTGGGGTCTAAACCCTAAACCCTAACACCTGAACCCTGAACCCTGAACCCTATGCTGGGAACTGCCCAAGTAGGGTCCGGCTGACCCTGTTCGATATGCCACAGCTGTGTTGCGACGATTGAAGCCTCCGTCATAGTCTCGGAACTCGGACACCCAACATGTCCCGCGGTTTAGGGTTTAGGGTTTAGGGTTTAGGGTTCAGGGTTGTCATAAAGGGTCAGAATCCCGGTAGCATGGTCAAGTAGGATTCTTGAGGCACGCCATAACCTCTTCTCGGAGATGAAGGCAAAGAGGCCCCTCCTTCCCCGCCGCAGCCGTGCTTCGTTCTTACCGGTTCAGTTTAGGGTTTAGGGTTTAGGGTTTAGGGTTTAGGGTTTAGGGTTTAGGGTTTAGGGTTTAGGGTTTAGGGTTTAGGGTTTAGGGTTTAGGGTTTAGGGTTTAGGGTTTAGGGTTTAGGGTTTAGGGTTTAGGGCCCCTCTTGCACCGTGCCGCTAAGCGCTACCTTCAGTATGTTTACAATGCTCAAAGGTACACTATTCTTCGACAAACACCGAGGCCTTTTAAGGTAATGTCTTCACGTAAACAGTTCTCCACCACCCCCCAAAGAACCTGGAAGGTTCATGTATTCCAACAATGCTGTTGCAGAGCTTGCTCCTCATTGTTGCTGAATGGAGTATACAAGGAGCGTAGACCTAGCAAATAGGAACAAAGTAAACAGTATATCAAATGATACACCGAATTCATCAAAACGACCAATAAATATAAACAATAAGTCAAGTCAATCACATCAATCAAATCGGTTGATTGATAATAATAAAGATCATAATGATGAAACAACTGATAATAATTTAGTACATCCCGATGAGATTGATTTACAGAATGTTAATGGTTTTGAACCAATTGCGGATTTTGAAGATGATAATGTACCACAATTAGAGCCCGCGGGAGGTACCAGTACCAGGACTTCGGCACTTAGGGCAAACCCCCCATATATACACCCGAAACCCTAAGCCCGCAATTTCGACACCCTACACCCCTATGTTCCCCGAACCCTAGAACTTGTTCAGGCCTAAACTCTCGGTCAACCCCCGCTCGCGCGCCCGGCGGGCTCAAGAGAAGCAGCTCACGAAAACGCTGCCTCGGGCTTCCCCTCCTTGCTCCGGTCTCAGCACGCAGGTTTCAGGGCTCCGCATTGCCCACACGCATGGCCAGTTCTTTGCATTCCTGCCCCGCTACCCAAAACGCTAAACCTTACTCCTTAGACCCTAAACCCAAAAACACCATGAAATGTAATGGTTCGTGCTGGAATAGGAACCCGAAAAACAGAAATCATGCCATGTTGGTTTTTTTGTTGATATGGATTCCCAAGTATGCGCCGAAACATGGGAGTTACACTGAGTTCTGAATGCGTGCCTCCCCTGTTTTCAGGACGTCGAGGCTATTCTATGTATTGAGTAGTTGCTGAACCAACTGTTCTGCATTCTGGCACCTTGACAGCGTGCACAGCGCAAAGCCATGACGAGTAGCTTCCTCCGCAGTCTCGTGGTAGACAGCCAGTTGAACAGCCTGCAATTCCAAGCCATCGGAACTCCTTACCCTAATCCCGAACCCTAACCCCCTAAACCCTAAACCCTAAACCCTAAACCCTAAACCCTAAACCCTAAACCCTAAACCCTAAACCCTAAACCCTAAACCCTAAACCCTAAACCCTAAACCCTAAACCCTAAACCCTACCTAGATACCCTGTCAACCTCAAAGCGCAAAGCCCCATGCAGCCATCCAAGGCTCACAATGCCGGGCACAAACTGCCAGAAAGCAATTGTGCCAGACCGGCCAGTTGGCTCCGCGGGATTCCTGTACACAGAGTAACCTATGTGCCTTCAAGAAGGGATATGGGCACACATATATATATATATATGTATATATGTATGTAGAATATATATATATATATAGATATATAGATATAGATATATATATATATATATAGAGACACGGACCAGTATTTAAGGTACATGTTCCTTTTTCATGTGTGTGTGTATGTGTTACCCTAGGTATGCGCATAGGATCGTCCACTATCCAGGAATTCTCCATCCTGAAACTTACTTAAGACGTACAGCGGGAGAATTCTGGGTTGTTAGGGCAGGAGATCCCCTTCTACACCCATTTCGTTCATAGGCATGGAGTTGCCAGGTCTTCGTGACCGTAATTTCTAGAAGCCCAAATGGTGGTTTCCAAATTTTGTGTGTGGAGCTCCTTTTGCAGGGGGTTTCTGCGAAATGCGAAATCTGGTGAGGGTGGGGGGGAGGGGAATTTGGCTAAACTCCAGCCTGTGATCCCCCTTTGTGACCAGAAAGAAACGTCTAGGGTTTAGGAGTTTAGGAGATCAGGGTTTGGGGGTTTAGGGTTTCAGGCGTTCAGGATTTGTGAAAGGGCGCATCCTGAATCTCCAAGGACGTACTATACAGGTTGCCAGAGCCGCTTTGATGGTGACAGCTCAATACGTCTCGGCTTGATAAATTGTGTGCCTGGCGGCCTCCTTCCGTTTCGTGCCTCAGAACGTGGGGAAAACTCAACACGCCTAAACCAACTCTTTGCAAGCTGTTGGGGTCTCTGGGTTAGGGATGAGCGTTTGGGAATCAGTATAAAACAGACCCCTGAATTGAGGAATATATACCCTAATTCATAATCATGATCCTTAGTATAAATCAAATTATACGTGAAAGTTAGGGAATCTGCAGGGGGGGGATAGAGATGTATACTGATGTTTGTCAATGTTGGGAAGCCTGTTTTGTTGATTCCTGTAATGAGGACTACCGGCTGATTTGGAGGGGCAAAATCAGGAGAAGCCTATTTTGGGAAATGCTCCCCCCCCATGTTTGATACGCGCTAGCAGTTGTTCGGGCTCAGGGCTCTCTGCTCCGGCAAGTCCTGCACCCTAAAGCCCTAGAAGTCCTAATCCTTCAACCCGACTCGCCAGGCTATGGTCTGAGAAGAATGGTGGCGCCAATCCAGAGGAAGCAGCACCCTGGACAAGTGCAGATTTGTCTTGAGGCTTTGTGGAGAGTGTTGGGCTTTTGGGGTTGATTTTGTTTACGCTTTCACGGTTTTCGGGTTTTCAGGTTTAGAGTTCTAGAATTGTTTGGGTGGTTTTAGGGGTGCACTGTTTTAGTGGTTTGGGGTGTTTGGGTCTGGGGGTTTGGCCTTGGCATGTGAGAGCAGAATCATCATGCTGCCCACATCCCTTGCCCTTTAGGCAAGAGCCTAGACCCAAGTTTTGTTCTAATAATCTGGGTTTGGGAGTACTATGCTTTAATACCTTTTTCTAGTTCTGGGTTCCTATGGCTACTTATACCTAAAAAGTACATATTTTTCCAGGGTCTACTCCAAAAGTAGTTGGTTCCACTTATTTCCTTCCACGTTTGGATCCTAAACTTGTCCCTATCAAAGGGGCAAAATCCCAGCAGCTGAGGCGCAACCCTAAACCCTAAACCCAAACTCTCAACCCTAAAGCCTAAACCCTAAACCCTAAACCCCTTTCTTTTGTGTGTAAAAATGGGTTACTCCAGGTGTGAACCAAACGAGACCCAAAGCCCAGGAAACGGTGAAGCTTCTGTGTGCCCGCCTCAGCCGGGAGTGGGGGGGGGGGGGGGGGTGCGAGGGAGTCGAGGACTCTTTGCCGCTAGGGACCCAGCGTGGAGCTCCCGGAAGTATCGAGGGTTTAGGGTTTAGGGTTTAGGGTTTGGGGTTTGGGGTTTAGGGTTTGGGGTCCCACGTTGGCGGCATCTGCAAAGGCATGAGCCCGCCGATCGAAAAGATGGACTCATCGCTCAACCAGCTGGTGAACGTCAAGCAGCTGCCTCGGGCTGGGTTATATTGGAGCCTCTACACCCTAAACCGTTTAGGGTTTAGGGTTTAGGGGTTAGGGTGGTTTAGGGTTTAGGGTTTCAGGGTTTTGGGTTTAGGATTACTGGGTTTCGGAGTACTATACTTCAATACTTCTTTTGGTTCTAGGTTCCTCTTCTAGCTACTTGTACCTAGAAAGTACATACATTTTCCAGGGTCTACTCCAAAGTAGGGTGGAGTTCTTTCAGCAGGTGCTGCGGGTGTAGCTCCGACTTGCTTAAGAACCACCCAAAGAACATTAAAACAAAAAACACTCTTCCCAGATAAGTGTACTATAGGGATCCTTCCTTTTAAATTTATGTTTTTGTTGGGGGGGGGGGAGGGGGGGTGGGGTCTTTTGAGCAATGAGTAGGTAGGGGTTTAGGCGAAGCACCTGGGCTAGCAGATTTCGGAGTGTTCCAGGTCAAGGTCAGTGTGAGGGTTTAGGCTTGGGGAGTTGAGCTGGGGGGGGTGTGGGTTGGAGGGATAGCATGGTTTTTAGGGTTTAGGGTTTAGGGCTTAGGGCTGCGGATGAAATCCTCGTTATCTTGGCAGCCCAGGGGTGCCCTTTGCCTTTTCTTGGGGTTCAAGGTCTCTTTATAGGGTTTAGGGTTTTGGGTTTAGGGTTTAGGGAACCCTAGACCCCATGCAGGCATCTAGCGCTGTCCACCAACTGCATTGACAAGATGATCTCACTGCCAGCCTTGAAGAACATCGAGGCACGAGGGGTTTGCTTGAAGTTTCGGGTCCCTTCCGGCCTGTTGCAGCGCTAAGCCCTGCAGTCCCAAACCCCACATCCTAGACCCCTTATATAAAGAATATTAAGCCCTAAACCCTAAACCCTCTAACCCCTAAACCCTAAACCCTACACCCTAAAGCCCTCTATAGCGGATGAAGCCTACCCTTACACCCCCCCACTCTCCCCACACGATGTAGATTTGCCCTGAAAGCCTTCAGCATCCCCCAAGTCCCGTTTTTTAGGGTTTAGGGTTTAGGGTTAGCGTTTAGGGTGGCCCTACCCTTCCTAAAATCTTCAAAGCTGCCTAGACCGCCCCACCCTCCCACAAAGAAAAGCAAACAGCCTTTGGTTGAGGGTTTAGGGTTTAGTCCCCCATCCCAACCGCCCCCGCATGCCCAAATGCCCCCAATCCCTCCCCCCGAACCCTGCACCCCATAAACCCCTTCAACCCTAAACCCTAAACTCTAAACCCTCCTCACTCCCAACTAAGATGACGTTCGACTCCGCAAGACGGAAGGTGCTTTCTTTGGGCCGGAACTTGATCAAGAAGATCTCAGGACACGTCCCAGACATTGCAGTTTCCGTGTTGGGGGCCCTGAACTCAGGCTTCATATGTAACCCATGGGCGAACAACAGCCCTAAGACCCCCTCTCATATTTGGTGGTTTCTGAAATTAGGGGCACCTTATTGGGGTCCTTATTATAAGGGAATCCTGCTATTTGGGAGTCTATGTTTGGGGTCCCCTGTTTTCGTAAACCCTACTTGGAGAGGACTGGAGGAGATCGGCTCCACACTAAGGTCCGGCTCCCGGGTCTGCTTGCTAAGGGCGGAGGGTTTGTGCCTAGGAATGGGTTGAGGGTTTAGGGTTTAGGGGATTTGTCCAGGTGGGTCCCATACACATGTTTAGGTCTTTAGGTATGTTAAATGATAGGGGGGCGGGGTGGGCGGGGGGGGTGGATTAGAGGTGGGGTGCCTGCTTTGTGCTACCCATACACCTACGGCCCCAGGCCTCGCCGGATAATATAATACAAACGTGTTCTGCGCGTTAAGAGCCGGTAGGTTAGGATCTTTGTTCCACTCGGCGGATGTCCATCAATCTTGCAGTGATACGGGAATCCCAGGCTGCCAATCCCCAACCCCTAAACCCCCCAAACCCAGTTGTGGATCTAAACCCCAAGCCCCAAGCCCCAAGCTCTAAACCCTAAACCCTAAACCCTCAACCCTCAACCCTCAACCCTAAACCCTAAACCCTAAACAGACAGCGAAGCCGGCGCTTTCTTAGTGTTTTCCGCAGTCCCTTGGGTGTGGAGCCTCTTCGTTCAGGACCTCATGCGTTTTTCTCGCATGGGATGTCCGATGACATCTTGCATGAACTCCCAGACCTCTGAATCTCCCCGAAACCCTAACCCAAAACCCAAACCCTAAAGGGCCCCAAACCCCAAACCCTAAACCCTAAACCCTAAACTCCTGTTTCCCTAGCCCAAGGGAGCTTTGGATCTCCTACAACCAGATCACCACTTTGGATGGCCTTGCGCCATGTGTGCCCTGGCAGCCACGCGGGGAACAACCCTTAGGGCTTAGGGTTTAGGGTTTAGGGTTTAGGGCTTAGGGTTTAGGGTTTAGGGGCTCAGGGGTTGAGGGGTGTAGGGGTCTCGTCGTTTTTAGGAGTTTAGGGTGTTTTGGTGGTTTGGGGTTTAGGGTTGAGGGGTTTAGGGGTTTGGCCTTAGGGTTTATTAGGGTTCGGGTTTATGGTTTGGGGTTTAGGGTTTAGGCTTCGGGTTTGTAGGTGTTTAGGGGCTATATGATCCGAACCTGGATCCCCAAAGTACCCACATCAGGGCCCACAGCCTCAAGTTTCAGGGATTACAATCTACAATCATGGGCTTTGAGGATTTTCGAAGGATGTATACGTAGGGTAAGTCTCGGTTGAGACACCGTTTTTGAACAATACCTAGTACAGGGCAACGCCGCATATGGTACCGCAAATGGGCTAAGCTGGGTTCAAGGGGCTCCCCACACACAGAAAGCCCTAGACCAGCTTCTTCCAGTCTGACTATAGGCACATTCCATCTCTATATATACAGACATATATATATATATAGACTTGTATATATATATATACATTTATTTATTTATTATGTGTTTTTTATTATTACACAAATATATGTGTGTTTGCGCAGGCGAGATGATAGGCAGGTATTATAGAGCTGCCGGCAGCAGAAGAAACATGACCGTTGGGGCAAGAGTTCAGGCAGGGCGGTCCATGACAGAAACAGGTTTCTGATTCTGCGAAGCTGAGATTGGAGTTACTTTGGCCCCAAGCCTGGCTTGGGTAGGTTCCCTAAGAAAAGTATGTAGATGTAGTAGTAGTAGTAGTAGTAGTAGTAGTAGTAGTAGTAGTAGTAGTAGTAGTAGTAGTAGTAGTAGTAGTAGTAGTAGTAGTAGTAGTAGTCGTAGTAGTAGTTGTTGTTGTTGTAGGAGGAGGAGGAGAAGGAGGAGTTAGCAGCAGCAGCAGTCGTCGTCATCGTCGTCGTAGCTTAGAAGTGGTTTTAGTTCTTACGGTAGGGGGTTGGGGCTTTTTGGATCTGTGAGTTGAGCCTCGATGGAGGTAAAGCTAACGACCCTGTTCATCTCGAACAACAAGATCAAGGCCGACTCTTTGGGGGTTTAGGGTTTGGGGTTTAGGTTCTAGTTTTGATCAAGTTTGAGGGGCATGGGCATCGCTGACATTTCCCCCCTTCTGCAAGCCCCAACCCCTCAGCCCCACAAAAGCTGTGCCCTGAACCCCATGTGCGCCTGAAAGCTAAACCCTAAACCCTAAGCCCTAAACCCTAAACCCCAAACCCTAAACCCTAACCCTAAGACCCTTTTTGAAAACCCCCCCAAATCGCAGCTTGAGCGCCCCCCCGCAGGATTGGCCAGAGCTAGACAAGCTCCAGGCGAACCAGGAGTCGGCTGTGGGCTCAAGGGTTTTAGGGCTTTAGGGTTTTAGGGGTTTAGGGTTTTAGGGTTTTAGGGCTTTAGGATTTAGGGCTTTAGGATTTAGGGTTTAGGGGTTTGGGGGTTTAGGGGTTTAGGGGTGTAGGGGTGTAGGGGTGTAGGGTTTAGGGTTTAGGGGTAGGGTTTGGGGTTTGGGTTTGGGGTTTAGGGTTCAGGGTTTAGGGTTCAGCATCTCAAGTCCAAGCATCCACTACTCAAGCAATTACTCCAGGAAAATACCCACCTGCCCAAAGAATCCCACAACATTAAGAAAATATTTCGCTTATAGAACGACCTTGCCCAGCAAAACAATGACCTTGACCAGCAAAAAATGACCTTGCCCAGTAAAAACAAATGACCTTGCCCAGTAAAAAAATAACCTTGCCCAGTAAACAAATGACCCTGCCCAGTAGAAAAATGACCTTGCCCAGCAAAAAAACATGACCTTGCCCAGTCAAAAATGACCTTGCCCAGTAAAAAAAATACCTTGCCCAGTAAAAAAAAGGACCTTTTTCAATGACCCTGCCCAGTAAAAATAACCTTGCCCAGTAAAAACAAATGACCTTGCCCAGTAAAAAAATGACCTTGCCCAGTAAAAAAAGGACCTTGCCCAGTAACCCTCGTTTTTTAGACCGAACGACCTTGCCCAGCAAAAAAATGACCTTGCCCAGTAAAAAAAATGACCTTGCCCAGTAAAAACAAATGACTTTGCCCAGTAAACAAATGACCTTGCCCAGTAAAACATGACCTTGCCCAGTTAAAAAGGACCTTGCCCAGTAACCCTCGTTTTTTTGGACCGAACGACCTTGCCCAGTAAAAAAATGACCTTGCCCAGTAAAAAATGACCTTGCCCAGTAAAAATATGACCTTGCCCAGTAAAAAAAGGCCTTGCCCAGAAAAAATGACCTTGCCCAGTAACTCATTAACATTCAAATTATATATGAAGGAGAGGTTTAGGGTTTAGGGTTTAGGGTTTAGGGTTTAGGGTTAGTTTCCGAGGTTCAGGTTCGGGATTTGAAGGTTTTTTTGATGTTCAAATCTCCTTTTTCGAGCTTGGTGGGGATGGTGTGCAGAGCTTTGGCTTAAAACCTGGGCAAGTTGGAGACCTGCGCCTCATACCCCACCTATAGACCTCCAATTGTACTTACTCTTTCTTGGGCACTTGATTTCAGGGTAAGTAGCTTATAACAAAACATGGGTACACAAGCAAACGAATCACAAGGTCGATGTTTGTGCACGAGTGCCACCTGTCCAAGGGCAGCTTCATCCATGAAGCGTGCCAGGTGGGCGTGCGCGCGCGCGTTCGCGGTTCCCTGCAGAAACACGAAGTCCTAACCCCCTTTCCTCGCTAACGATTAGCAGGATCTTTGCTTTAGCTGTTGTTTTTCTATCCTGGCCTCCACATGGCGCTTGTGCTAAATTAGGGCTTGGGATTTCGACAAGGTTTTGGATTCGAACATGCGTTGCATGGCGGGTTCAAATTCTGGGGACGTGCAGCAGGACCTGACAAACGTCCTCTTCTACGGAAACCCCATCTACGAAGGCAAAGCTGAGCATTCCCAGAGAGCCGAATACTAAACCCTAAACCCTTAAACCCTAAACCCTAAACCCGAAACCCAGTTTAATGCGAGGCAAATGACTTCAGGGATTGTAAAGGCTTTCTGGGGTTGGTGATCCTTGGAGGCTCTCTGGAGGTCAGTTGATCTCCGAAGTAGGCTCAAGGTGCGCTCAGTGCAGCATTGTGCTGGAGGTTCTTCCTTTTCAGGAGGTGCTTTAGGGTTTAGGGTTTAGGGTTAGGGTTACCTGGTACTGAGACTTCATTTGGTCGCCTTGTTACAGGCGGTCGGGGTCCTGAGGGTGGGTCTTATGGCTTGGAGACACAGGCCGGGTTCTCAATTGGAGGTCCTCTTCTCACTTCATGGTCTTGATGTCGGGGTGGCATCCCGAGGATGGGCTCTTATCTTGGTTCACGTCTCAAAGACGGAATCCGACATCACCGTAAACCCTGAGCCCTGACACGACATGGACCTGTCGCTAGCGTGTCTGTATTCTTTTTTATGTTTTTCATCGGGTGTGCAGGAGGTTTGTGAGGCACGTTTGTTTCTTGGTCTGCCAGTAGGGTTCAGGGTTCGAAGTTTAGGGTGTGGGTTTCTGGGGCTTATAGGGTTTGCTTGTAGCCCAGTGGTGGCCTTTACTTGTTGTGTTGTTTGACCAACCCCCCCCCCCCCCAAAAAAAAAAAAACAAGTGTACCCTTATTGTACTATGATTGCTGGGCTACCAAGTTGATAAGGTTTTTGGATGTGTACTTAGAGGTTCTTAGGCAGTTTTCAGTGGGGATTATAAGTAAACAAAGCTATATCTATAACTGGTTATAAACTTAGTTAGGGTAGGTCTAACCTGACATTCTAGCTACCCATGAACCTTCAAGTAGCCCTAAACCCTAAACCCTAGACCCTAAACCCTAAACGCTAAACCCGTGAAACTTCAAGCAGGGTTGATAGGGTTCGGGTCAGAAGCATGACTGGTTGGAGGTCTCACCAAGAAGCAGGCGCGACCAAAGGCCCGATATGCGGTGGAAAGATAGGGTTTAGGGTTTAGGGTTTAGGGTTTAGGGTTTGGGGTTTCGGGTTTAGGGTTTAGGGTTTAGGAATTTGGGTTGAGGGTTGAGGGTTTGGAGCTTAGGGTTTGGGGTTTAGGGTTAGATGGATGAGCCTGGACTTTGAGTTACGGCTTCAAGTTCTGAGCTTTTGGGGGTGGAGTGTAGTGCGGGGCAGGGCCTTCCGAGCGTAACATGAGCTTATCAACCCGAGAATGGGAAGTGTTTCTCCTTGTTCATAGGTTTTTTGTTTTATTGGTTGCGCTAGGTAGGGTTGCCTAAACTGCAAATAACCAGAAAGGGTCGTCGTAATTAGTTAGTCTTGGGTGTGCTCCTGAAGCTCAGAAACCTTTGCACTTGGCATGAAATCTACGATATATATATATATATACTTCATAATAACAATGACAATAATAATGATAATGATGAAATTGTATGCAATAATGTAGCCTGCAGACCCGACCCCCCAACACTTTAGATGCGAGTCTTCGCACTTTGCAACACAGGCACCACATGGCTAGTGGAAGCCACCACAGGAAACTTACACGACGTCATTGGAACCCTGGTAAACCCTTCTAAAACCCTTCTAAACTCTTCGCAAGCCTTCCAAGCCCTTCTTAACCCTTGAAAATTCTAAACCCTACACAACCCTGGTAAACCCTTAAAGAACACTTCTAAAAACACGTACCCTTGGCCTCTAGGACTTGGCGATTCTCAGCCTCAACCCCAGTGGATTTAGGGTTTAGGGTTTAGGGTTTAGGGTTTAGGTTTAAAGCCCTTGAACAAGAGGTTCTGGAGCACCTCCCCAAGATCGCCACCCTGGATGGTGAGCTGCTCACGGGCGACGACGACGAGGAGCCTTTTTTTTGCGGTGTCGCTTAGGTGTGCTCCTCACGAGACTTTGGCTATCTAGGCTTAGGGCTCAAGACCCGAGACCCTTCTAAACACTGCAGCAAACCCTACAACCCTAAACCCTAAACCCTAAACCCTGCACCCCAGCCGGAAGCCCGGCTAGATCCTAAGCCCCGGATCTTGCAGGGTGAGGAAGCGGCGGCGGAGTGAGAGGAACGTCCATCGTGGGCTGAGCAGGCAGGGCCTTCACATGGCCGAGCATTCGGTGGCCCTAAACCCTAAACCCTAAACCCTAAACCCTAAACCCTAAACCCTAAACCCTAAACCCTAAACCCTAAACCGGGGTTGAGGCCCTGGCATGGACAGAACTGATCGGACACAGATCATGTCAAGTTCATGTCAGTCGAGCTGCATTGTGAATTCACTGCCGCCCTGACGTCAGCGGGGTGCTCATCGAGCCTCCCAGGGCCAGGGAGAGCTTTGCCCCATTTCCAACCCCAACCCCTCAGCGACAGCCTCAGGCTCTCTTCTCTCTTCTCTCTTCTCTCTTCTCTCTTCTCTCTTCTCTCTTCTCTCTTCTCTCTTCTCTCTTCTCTCTTCTCTCTTCTCTTTCTCTCTTTCATGCAGGTACAGAGTCGGCAGTTGCGTTCCTGCCGAAGACTCAACCACGCAGCGTTTCCAGTGAGCAGCATGGCACGAAAGAGGGAATGCCTCATGGCATGTACATGTGTGTACATGGACAGCATATACACACGTATATGTATACGTACATATATGCATATATACACGTACGCACATACATACATGTTGTTGTATGTCGCAACATATGTGTAGACATCACGCCAGTGATGCGGAACGCACCGAGAAGTGCAACGCTTTCAAAGCAGTTTCACGAATTCTTGCACACTGCACTGAACACTGCATGCACACGCCCACTTGGACAAACAGAGCGCAGGGAGCTCTAAGGCAGAGCGCATCGGAGTGCAGCGATGCTCTGTATGACTCTAGCATTCGGGTTGTTTTGAATATGATAAATGGGTTCTCTAACCTGAACAGGTCTACGTTTAGGGTTCAGAGTTTAGGGAGTTTAGGGCAGCAGGTGCAGAGCTTACAGGGTTCAGAAAGGGTTAGATTTGCGGTCAAAGGTGAGCGAAGTTGCTTGCATCGCCCGCCACTCTTGGACGCGCGCCTCTGGCTCTTCGGGCAGGGGGGGGGGGGCCTAAAGTGCCTAAAGTCGGCCTTCAACACCCGCCCACAGCCTCAATTAGGAACCCTAAACTCGAAACCCTAAACCCTAAACCAACTCCTATAGTATTTTGGTACCCATACCAGGAACCACGCTTGGGTGGGGTCTAGGCAGATGTCTTAGGCGGTAATTCGAAGGGTTGGGGCGGGGTCTGATGCGTGGCTTCATAGGTTGTGCTCTCAACCGCAACCACAAAGCCCGACCCTCTTGCAGACGCCGAGAGAAGTTGTAGAGCCACTCCAGAGCCCTCGCTTGATCTAGCGTCCCTAAACCCTAAACCCTAAACCCTAAACCCTAAACCCTAAACCCTAAACCCTAAACCCCATACGACCCTGCGAGACACATGTCGCAACGCGCGCCATGCCGCGCCCGCGCAAGCGGTCGAAGTCAGGTCAGTGCTGTAGTTGCTGAGTAAGTTGGTGGCCTAATCTTTTTTTGGGGGGGATGATTTATACATATACATAGATATATGTATGTATAGCTTTGTATACAGATATGTATAGCTTTACATGCATATACATATACATATGCATATACATATACATGTACATATACAAATATATACATGCACACATACATGCATACATACATACATACATACATACATACATACATACATACATACATACATACATACATACAATACACCTCATGATTTCCAAGAGGTTAACCCCCCCAAGTTGCCCCTAGAAAACACAGCCAACAAGGAACAGATGCTTGCAGCCTTGTTTGTGGCTGATAGGTTGCCTATGATAAGCCCCCCTAAACCCAACCCTAAACCCTAAACCCGAAACCCTAAACCCCGAAACCCCGAAACCCGTAAACCCCTAAACCCCTAAAGCCAAAACCCAACATCCTATTGTTTCAGCTGATGGCCAAGCAGCGTCCAGGTCCACGGGTTTAGGGTTTAGGGTTTAGGGTGAGGTTCGTTTACTGTGAGGTTCATGGGTGGTTGTAACTGGGGTTCCAAGTGGGAAAACTATAGCCATAAGTGGTTATCGCCCTATTAAAGCACTCATAACCCTACATATAGCTACCCATGAACCTTCAAGTAGGTCTCGGGATCGACGGTTTAGGGCTTCATAGGGCTTGGGGATCACTGGGCTGCTGTTTAGGGTTCAGGGTTCAGGGTTTAGGGTTTCGGGTTTAGGGTTAGGGTTTAGGGTTTAGGGTTTCGGGTTTAGGGTTTAGGGTTGCTCCCTTGTGAATTCAGGTGGGCCCAGCGCACTGCCAAGCTCAGCAAGGTCGCCTGCGCCCAAGTCCTCGCACTCCCTTTGAGTTTTGTCTACCCTACCTGAAGGCTATTGTAGTTCTCTTCTGGTTTAGTAATAGGGGACTCTAGTATAGTACCCCAAAAAAGTGCTACACAGGAGCCTTTAACTTTAGGTAGTATCCAGGCAGGAAGACGTGTTCGTTCGTTGATGTCTTCTTGGAATGGCGGGTTCGGGTTTATGCTTCACGGGGCTTCCGGTGCATGACAGTGCATAGGGAGTAACTGGCTCCCTACTTGCCTATATGGCTTCGGGGTTCAGGGCCAGGACTTAGTAAAATTGGGTTCAGGGTTCCTTGACAGAACAACAGAGCCCTTTCTTGGTGCCTGTGCAGCCAGCCTTGTATGTGAACATCGCTGTTTAAGGTTGGAGAGGCCAAAGGGAACTTGGATACCAAAAACCCAAAGCTCTCTACACCCCAACCTTTAATACCCTAAGTCCATAACCCTAACCCTCCCAAACCCCTAGATACTCTCCCTGAACCCATAAACCCTTATGAGCCCCATCAAACACAGAAATCCTTGCAAGCTCCTTAAACCTCGAAGCCCTAGGCCCGGGCACGCGTTGCCTTCTGTGGCGGCCGAAATCGATGATGAGTCGCAGTACGACGAGCTGGGGGTCTTTAGAGGCACATCCTGGTTACCCAGGGACTCCCAAGACATTCTTATATCACTAACAAGTAGTCCTTGAATCTGAGGAGCCCCCTACAACTTAAAGCCTAAATCCCTAAACTCTACACCCTGAATCCTAAACCCTAAGCCCATAGCCCTAATCCCTAAGCCCTAAAGGCCTCCCAAGCTTCATGAGTTTTGCCCCAAGCCTTCAACCCTGACAAAAAAGACCCAACAGCCTAGTTCAAGGGTTTAGGATGTATAGGGTTGAGGGTCGAAGCATTGTTGGGTTCCAATTACGAATCACACTGCCATCCTTTTTACACGGGGCTTTTATTCTTGGGCTCTTTGTTTACAAGCAGGTTCTGAGATGTGTAGGGATTTTGCTTAAGCTTCATTTGGTTCCCTTTTGTCAGGATTACAAGCAAACAGCCCCTCCCTGCAGGGTTGAACCACCCGAAGCCCTAAACAACCCTAAGCTCTCCACCCTAGAAACCCGAAACCCTCGCAACCCTAGAAACCCTGAAAACCCTAGATACCCTAGAAGCCCGAGAAACCCTAAACCTCTAAGCTCCTCAGCATTCCTTCAGGCCCTGCGCTTTTCTCTGGAGCGGCGGCGGAAAGAACGTCTCTGCACCGGAGGCTTCGGCGTGGAGGCCCTCTATAACAGCGCACAAAAGGCTTTTGCTTTCCATTCCGGGGTGGGTTTAGGGTTTAGGGTTTAGGGTTTAGGGTTTAGGGTTTAGGGTTTAGGGTTTAGGGTTTAGGGTGTATGGGTTTCGTGGTTTTGGGCCTGGGGGCTTGGCATTAAGGATTTGGATTTCGGGTTGGATTTTGGGGTTTCAAGAGTGCGCGACTTGAGTTTGCCAATTGTCATGTGCGACATGTCTCATGGAGCTTTGTAGCCTAGACCCTGTGTCTGAAGCGGCTGGGACCCTCAACGCCATGCCACAACCCTAAATAATCCATACAGGGAAGTGGTTTCCCCCCCCCCCCCCCCAACCTAGGCCTTTGACCCCCCCCCCCCCCCCCCCCGCTTCGCATCCCAAAACCGCCCCAGAGGACTGAAAGGCCGCTGTGATGGCGAGGCGCCTTGCCACAGTGTTGTAAGGGTTTAGGGTTTTGGGTTTATAGTTTAGGGTGTAGGGTTTAGGGTTTAGGGTTCTGGGCCAGGTAGGCCCTTTGCGATGTGCGTGTACACGCAAGATCTGAGAACTGTTGTGTTGGGAGAGTTGGTGAAGACGAGCCAAGGCTGCAGAAACCCCTGTAGGGTTCTGCTTTAGGTTCTGGGCCTAGAGTGTAGGATTTGCCGTTTTGAAGTTCTCTGAGGGAATCATGGGCCATCTGAGTAGGGCTAGGGTCTTCTGGTTCAGGCTTCTTGGTGAGAAGTTGTTTCTGCCTTGGGGTGTGCAGAGTTTGGCGTCCTAGCTTAGCAAGTTTCATTCGTTCACCTTGCAAGCCGCGGCGAAGCAACGGCATCCCCACACCCATTCGGCCTAGGGTTTAGGGTTTAGGGTTTAGGGTGTAGGGTTTAGGCTTTAGGGTTTAGGGTGTAGGGTTTCCAACATTCCCACATAAAAGGTGGTGCTTGAACATAAGGGTATAAAATGCCCAGTATTCATTACGGAAGATAAAAGCACATTTCGGTTTTGCGTGCGGGTATGAAGCTTCGGGGTTCAAGGGATTTGAAAGCCAAGCCTTCTAGTGAGCCATGAGACCCAACACGTTGTACCTGCATTCTCTTAATCAATCCTTAGGCCCCAAACCCTACCCTAAGCCCTAAGGCCAAAGCCTAGAAACCCTAAACCTTAAGCCCTAAACCCCCTAAACCCTAAACCCTGAACCCTGAACCCTAAAGCCTTGTCAAGGCACAGGAGGCCCGGCCACCACGGACGGCGGAGCGGGAACGAAGAGGTGCGTGGGTTTAGGGTTTAGGAAGTTAAGGGTTTCTAGGCTTTGGGGTTTAGAGATTTTTGGGTTTAGGGTTGGGCTGCGCCTGCTCGAAGGTTTGAGAATGTTGTTCAATTCGGAGATCATTTGTGCGCGTGGCTGTATATTCGGTTCTCTTCTCAGACTGTTTTG